AATTAACTTGTACTCTTATCAACTTGTTCACTCATCAACTTGTGCACTTATCAACTTTTACACTCATCAGCTTGTACAATCATCAACTTGTACACTTTTCAACTTGTTCACTCACAAACTCACACACTCATCAACTTGCGCACTCATCAACTTTACAATTATCAACTTTTTCACTCATCAACTTGTTTACTCATCAAGTTGCGCACTCACTAACTTGCTCACTCATCAAATATACCTACATTTCCGGAGAAATCATCCTCATCCAAATCATAAAAGATGATGCCGCCGAGACCCAGGGTTTGCATAAACTGTATCTGAAGAGACACCCATATCGGTTAGTGAGTACAAGTCTCACAATGATATACCACATTGTTACACCATACTCACATTGGTGCTAGTGTGATGAATAACTTTTCTTACAGAATAGAGACAATTGTCACAAATACTGGGAGCTTTCTATTTAACAGACTCTATGATTTTAGGTGTAACAATGTGTCGTCATGTGTCATTCACAAATAAATGACGTCATTTGTTGCCCACATAGTTAAAATCATCATTATCACCATCATCAAGTAACAGATGTTTGCCTAACTTCACTGGCACAATAGCAAGCTGAAAAGCCCATCGTTCTCTTGCTAACTTTCCTGCAATGCTAATTTTCATTCTCAGGGTGTCTTTGATATCCTGTGTCCACGTTCGTGCTTGTAGTCCCCCGTCTACTTTTTCCCCCAGAAACAAAACTCTTCATTAAATGTACTCCGACTTCCAAGGAAACACTTCCTGGCCACTCATCACAGTGTCCACAAGAGGTGCCGGTACCCTCCACAACGGGTCTTTTTCAGTTTTGAAATTTGTTGCGTATTCTTTACAGGACGTTGCAGAACCAACACAATAATTTCTTTGGCTGTTGTGGTTTTTCTTGGCAAATTTATTTCCAGTAGTTTGTCATTGCTTCTGGACGGTCGGTATCTGAATGTCACTGTCTAAACCAACGCAAGGCAGAAAGTTGACAGTTGAGATCTAACCGGGCACCCAATCATTACAAAGAAACACTTCCTAATTATCTAAAAACACCCACTGCATCAAGCGCTTTCTGTAAAAAAGGCGACCGGTTAAAGAGGGGACAATAAAGGGTAGGTCGGAAAGTAGATGTTATCAAGCAAATATGCAGCTTAACCGACATCACCCCTCGTGCAGAGTGGATACCCGTGCCTCATGCGTTTATGTGTACATCATCCTCTGTCATCCACACTCGACAGCCGATGCAGGACACAGAATCCTGTTGCTGACAATGCTTCGGTAAGCTGACGGAAGCTGGCTGATCCTTGACGCTCTGAAACATTTTTCGTTTCTAGTTTTGTTTTGCAGATGCAAATTCCCTATTTCTAGACTTTCAGTCCAACGGTTCTGTCGCCCCGCTACTGAGTCGAGTGCAACGTGTGATACTGAGCTGTGGATTTCATGTGGAATATCTGTTTCTGTTGAGCCCGCGGTGTGTTGTTGACGGCTGTGAAACCGTGGGAGGCCTATAACTCTCAGAAAGGTATCCATATTCCCCTGGGTTATGCAGGGTTTCTTCATTGACAATGTTGGTAACTGTGACAGCGGCGTTGTCAACAGGCCCCCCCCCCCCCCCCCCCCCTTTGTTTGTGCAAATTTCAAGATTTTACGACCACCGACAATTTTCTTTCACTAGCTTTCAAATAGACCAGCCACGGAGGACGATGTGTTTGTCCTTCCATGACACAGGAAGGGAGCAGTTTTGGGACGACCGTTTGCAGTGATGTCGGAGCTTCGTTTCGCGCAGTGGTTCTTTACCTTTCTAATGCTGCGACCCCTTAATACAGTTCCTCACGTTGTGGTGAACCCCAACCATAATTTTACTTTCCTTGCTACTTCATGACTTTATGTGAATTTGTGTTTTTCGATAGGCTTAGGCGACCCCTTTTCTGACGTTTTTTTTTTTTTTTTTGCATCTGAGGTTAACAAGGTAATAAAAAAAATTTTTTTTTTGCATTTTTTTAAAATCAATGAATCATTTAATTAAAAAAGAATTGACATCACAAACCTCGGAACATTCCAGCACGTGCCCCGTCCCCTTCTTCAGCAGCCAACTAAGATCTTCATGCTGTTAGTACAAGTTGGAATATCTCTAATACCCTCACCCCGTCCCCCTCTCCCGGTTTTATTTTTCTTTCAATGGATGAATTCTATGTCTGTTCTTTTGTGCTTTTCGTTTGATCTTTTAGAGCCTACACCATGTCCCCTTTATGACACAGTATAAAGAGACGCAACAGAAAAATCTGTCAACCGCGGCGACGGCACAAGCAGCTTCGGCTCCACCTTATCAGCCAATCATCAGATAGTATTGATACCTGCACAATACTGTATATGCTGGTCCCTTGGAGGATAGGCAGAGCGAGAGGACTTCTCCGCAATTGTCATCAGATATTGATACCTGCACAATACAGTACCTGCTGGTCCCTTTGAGGATAGGCAGAGCGAGAGGACTTCTCCGCAATTATCACCAGATAGGACTGAAACTTACATAACACAATACAAAGTATTTGCCAGAGCGAGAGGCCTTCTCCGCAAGCACCATGTCTCGGAGAAACAAACCTAACGGAAAGCGCAACGGACAGAGGAAACAGCCCACTGACAGATCTACCCGATCTAACTCGGAGGCCAGGAAGACGCAGACAGATACTACCGAACCACAGGAAGACGCCCCTACTACCAGTGAGGCCCTGAGTGACGTCCCAGCGTCACCTGAACCAACACAGCCAAGTCCACAAACATCTCCAGATCGACGAAAGACAGGCAGCTATGAATTTCCTGCCACAATATTTCTACGACAGACCAACTCGGGCCGGACAGCAATCACTACACTGGCAACGCTAACATTGATCAATATGCTGGAGATCATGTTAGGCAAGAGGGCAGTCGCAAAGATTAAGAGAACTCGAGAAGGAGTGATAGCTTCACTAAACAGAACCAACCGCACCTCAGACATGCTGGATGACATCCAACACGACGGCAAGAAAGAACTCCGACTATCCGAGGAGATAACTGTAACGGCCACCATCTTCCAGAATGTAAGACGCTGGGTGATCCGAAGAGTCAACCTGCAATGGAGCAACGAAGAAATTCTGCAACAAATAAGAAAGAAAACCCCAATGTCAACATCAACCAAGCAGAGAGACTGGGCTCAAAACGGCATCCATTGCCAGTGGCGGTGATAACATCGGAAGGAGAAAACATCCCGGATAAAGTCTACCTAGATCAAAGAATGCAAAGACCAGAGCAATACGTGCCACAGGTGATCCAGTGCTCTCGTTGCCAAAAAGCATGGCACTCCCGGGCCACTTGTGTGAGCGAACATGAAGTATGCCGATACTGTTCACAACACCATGCCTTCAACAATTGCCCGCTGGCAAAGCTGGACACAGACTTTAAGTCACCCAATACGAACAGAAAGTGCGCCAACTGCTACGGCCAGCACAGCACCAGGTACCTGGGGTGCCCCTATCTGCAACAATGTAGAGAAATTGCAACCACGGCCATACGGGATAAGATTCCATACCATGAGGCCCGCAGAAGACACGAAGCAACCCAAGGCATAACTGCAGCCATTACCACCAAATTGAGCAACGAGGTGGCTCAACTCAAAAGTGACATCCAAGCTCTCAGAGACGAGAAAGACGCATCCAAAAGGCAACGAGATGAAGACAGAGATGAAATAACAGGCCTGAGAGCTATAATGCAGGCGACTCTTGACACCCAGAAACGGATGACAGCAGAGATGACGAAATTCAAGGAGGACATCATGAATGCACTGGCCACTATCCAGACACAAAAGGAACAACCAACTAAGGCAAGGGAAGACGAGGCGGTAATCAAAGATCTGCGGGATAACCAACAACTTCTCGCGAAAGAAGTCGCAATGATCAAGAAGGCACTGGCTGAAACAGAGGAAAAAGTTACGAAGAGCATACGAAGAAAACAACAGACTTAACAAGGAACTGCAAGCAACCAACAGAGTGATGGAAGAAGAGAGAAAGCACGGAAAGAGGCAACAAGAAGGCAGCAAATACAGGGAGCCGAGACCCAGAAAAAGCCGCATCAAACACCAGATAAGAAAACTCAGGCATTGCTGATGAAACAGTTTCCGTTGGCAACAGTTTGACCAAATTAACGAACGCATCATGGAGATGGAGGACCCGAACTTCTATAACTCAGAACTGCAGGATGATGATGTTTTTTGGGTCATCACCAGAGTAACCACATCGACAGCCAAAATTTGAAGTCAAACGAGGTCGACACCGTTACCCCAAACACTAATACCAGATACGACACAACCAAGGCCAAATTACCGAAACCCTATGTAGGAGCAGTACTTTACAACAAGGATACGAGAAAATCACCAAATAATACCAGACCTCAGCAGTATAGCCATCAGTACCTGCCCAAGTCAATCGACCGCCGGTCCTTATTAGGATAGGCAATCTACTTTCCCCGGAAACAACAAACAGCCAAGGAAAACCACAATAAATCGATCCAACATACAATCATCTTGAGCGCAGCACAGGGCCAGCCAGATTACAAAAACAACAGCAAGAGCGGAAACCACAACAAACAGAAAGTGACAATATTGAACACAATCCAGAATCAAATAAGATCGCGACCAGAAAACGTCACCACAAATATAGCTGAAAGGAAAGTGAGCAGAAATGTGAACGGACCTAGCTGAAAGTGGTCAAAGAAAGAGAATTTGAAAATCTGTCAACCTACTCGTTACCTCGCTCATCCGAAAGTACTAGACCTCACCAGAAAAAAAAAAAATGATATTATAAACTAACTCCAATATTGTGGCGGTTTCTGTACCCGGCATTTCAATTTTCATTGCCCCTGAATATACTAATGTCAAAAACAACAAAGCAATCCGCACAAGATACCGTAAAAGACCAGATAAGCCGAATATGATCCGACAAGAAGTTTACCCTCTCTGCCAGGCTGGCTGTGTCAGTGTAGCCAACCCACAGATGTCCTGCCGCCAGGTAGGGGCTCTTCTGAACATTATCATACAGTCTTCTTGATGTTTTCAGCATGTTACACACCTGTTGTCAACAGTGGATGAACACATTAATGATTCAACTATTTGTCCAATGTCACAAATTCACAAATTGAGCACGCAGCTCATGCTACACCCGTCAATTCTAAACAAACATCTTTCACACAGCATTATAAACACACACCTTTCACACAGCATTCTAAACACACATCTTTCACACAGCATTCTAAACACACATCTTTCACACAGCATTATAAACACACATCTTTCGCACAACATTCTATTAAGCATGTTATGTTCATAACAAAATACATAGTTTGGATATAATGTGTTAAACAAAGTCTACATTGACGGTTAAGAGCTAGAGACAGTTGACTATATCGCCTATCTGGTGTACGCAGTGAATTAAAAACTGTCGCTGGACTATCAATATCAACATCAGGATAGGAAAAGCATTATCAACAATGAGCAAATTGGCATAGAACGTTTGGGAGAACAGAAAGCTCGCGATTAAAACAAAAACTCTTGTTTTCTTGTCTATCAGGCTAGTGTTCTCAGGACTCTTCTTTATGGGAGTGGGTCTTGATCAACTTTTTTTGCACCAGGAGAGATGCGTAAATAGCGTTCACATGTAATGTCTAAACATAATACCTGACATTGCGTGGCAGGACAAGATCACAAACATTGAGGTACTGGAAAAAAGAAAGTATTACAACAGTCTTCTCATTGCTCAGTAACGAAGCCTCTGGTGGCTTGGACCCACCTGGAGGCTGCGACCCACCATAAGGATATCTTCTATGGTGAAAGACGGGTGGAATATGTAGTGGCCGACCATTGCGATATACAGATGAGTGCAAGCGGGACAGGAAGGAGACAGGTATTGAGGTGGACTCATAGGAATGAGATATTATTGAGTGTGTTGTGTGGAGGGGGCACACCAGACAGGGAATAAGTGTGAAAGAAGAGACGATTGTAAAAAGAATGAGAGTGGAGCCTGTGAGAAAAAACAGACTAAACACAAATGTTGAGAACAACGGTCCCTAACCCCAATGCTGTAATTGTAGATGACCTTTCTTTAACGCGGGCGTGGTCTATCAATCTACCCATCAACTCGTGTCTCATCCATGAACCTAATGATATAGGACAGCGTGGCCAATGTAATCTACATGACCTAAGATGAATTTTTTTTTTTTTTTTTCAAACCTTAGCCGAAAAAGTCATTGCACCTAGAATTTGAACTTAGGTCTCCTACTAGAGAGTTGAGCGCTCTTAACCACCCCATGAGACGCGTATTGTGTATCATACTCGTGTTAATTAATTGGGGTGAATGTCATGATTTTGGGTAGGATCCAGTAATGGTTAATTCCCTTTAGTGTCAGTCTGGTCCAATGACATGGCCTCTTTTCTTCGCCTTAGGGTTCACTGAACTTAAACTCTGGCGGAAAGTTCTGGTTTTCCAAGAACGTGAGCCGTGCATGTACATCCGTTTTAATGGTCAGACATATGTGTGTGCATGTTGTTGGCTCCTAGCCTGCCAGGCAGAAGCAGTGCCTTGAAAGGAACCAGCCTTAATGACTCGCTTTTCTTGAAATGTTCGTTAGAGAGACAGTGGGTTTAATCTTTCTACGGGGTAGGGTCTTAGTGGAAGGTCTGGTGACAATATAAAAGGACAAAACGAGCATTCAGAACTTAGTGGGCCCCGTGGTTAACATCACGTCGACCACCTTTATTTCCCAAGACATTTCTTAATTACTTTTCTTTTTTAAACAGGCGGGCGAACAAAGTACAGCAGTTATAATAGGGAGGCTTCTCTAGTATGTTCCGTTCCATATACATTAGTGTTACATTTCCATTGTATATTCCATTCCAAAAGTCGTGCCAACTTTTTAAATCTGTAACAGTAACATTCGGTGCAAATTGTCGACATTGAGCATGCAGCCTGGTTAGTGATCAAGTCAAGTATAAAAAAAAATTGTTTGTGGTGTATAAAAAAGAGAGAGAGATAGAGAGAGAGAGAGAGAGAGAGAGAGAGAGAGAGAGAGAGAGAGAGAGAGAGAGAGAGAGAGAGAGAGAGAGAGAGATGGATAGAGAGAGAGAAGATGAGAGGAGAGAGGAGAGGGAGGGCGAGAGAGAGAGAGAGAGAGAGAGAGTGTGAGTGAGAGAACGATTCAGTAGATGCAGTGATTACATTAAACAAATTGAGACGATGTTAGAAAAAAACATCAAACCGTACGAGTGTTTGAGGTAATCCGTACACAAATCTAAGGCGCATGTGAAGAGTGAAGTTCGTTTTGATTTCCCCATAAACGAGTAAACAATTGCGTCAATTACTGTATGTCCTTTTTTTTTCTTCAAAAATGATTTTAGGAGGCACACACAGATTATTAGTCCGACAAAGATTCACCGCTGTAAAAAAAACAGCAGCATCTTTGCAATGGTTTAATATAAAAAAACAAGAACATGGTAAATTTAAGAACAAATGCAAACATTCATGTAGATTCGCATCAGAGTTTTCGATATATTTGTTAGAAGTTTGTTGGCTTGGGTTTTGGAACCGACTATAGGTATCCTACATGGACAAACCATGGTCCTCACACAACTACCCACAATTACAGATATCTAAAGCAGTATATTGTACCTGTTTTGGATACCATGTTACGCCACTAAAGGAGGCGGTGCCATCATTACCTCGGGATAAGCTAAGCGATTTGGTATGTTATATCTGGTCCCTCGAAGGACTGTTCGCTCAATGGGATCGCCGGGGTCATGGTGTAATACGTCTTTTAGATACACGTAGTTGCCTAGTGCCGTTACACCAAGCACCATCTTGTTGTACGGTGTACCATTGATCCACCATTTACTTATGCTGGTATTCTGAAAGTACAAGGGGCATCACACACAAGCGGAAAAAAGTTATGATGTGGTAAATTGATATCATTGGTGGTGTGCTATTTAAGTAAATGATGTAATCTTTTTGATAGGTGATGTGAGGTAGTTAAGTAGTATGTGATGTGAGGTAGTTGAGTAGTATGTGATGTGAGGTAGTTGAGTAGTATGATGTGGTAAGTATTGATAGGTAGTTGAGTATGTGATGTGAGGTGCTTTTTGTGAAGTAGTTGAGTAGTATGATGTGAGGTAGTTAGTATGTGATGTGAGGTGTGAGTAGTATGTGATGTGAGGTAGTAGTATGTGATGTTAGTTGAGTAGTATGTGAGTGAGTATGTAGATGTGAGGTAGTTGAGTAGTATGTGATGTGAGGTAGTTGAGTAGTATGTGATGTGAGGTAGTTGAGTAGTATGTGATGTGAGGTAGTTGAGTAGTATGTGATGTGAGGTAGTTGAGTAGTATATGATGTGACAATGTGGAAGATAATTGTATGGTTGGGTAGGTGATGCTATGATATAGTAGGTGATACTACGATGTAATAGGAAATGTGACGGTTGCGTAGTTCATGCGATCGTGGAGTAGGTGATGTAATAAGGTAGTAGCTGATGTGTTGGTGTTGTAGGTGATGTGATAGTGTAGATGGTGATACGATGAGGATGTGATAGTGTGATAGGCAATATGATTGTGACTCCTTTCCTTCGTTATCCACTAGGAAAGACTGCCGCCGGAAAAGACGTCAGAAGACTAGCCAACACGTTCATGAAGCCTAATGTCTTCAATACATCTGATAACAGGCATCACTTTTTCTTTGACGGATACTGTAAAATCTTTCATCTTATATCCCAGCTGCGTTGCCGTTAGTCTTGGCATCTTTATGTCTTTCCAGACTGTAGTGTTGTTTTTTGTTTTATAAAGGCTTGAGAATCAGAGAACATAAATCATGTTGCTATGCACACAGGACAAGCTAATCGGATGCTACAGCAAATACTTATATGACCGTCCGTAAGTGAAATATGCAAGGTGCTACAGGCGAAAATGTTTGTACTAGACAAGGCACACGCCATTCTGAGCATAATCGGCCACCCGCTGAACAACACATCGCAGGAACAACGACATTGCACATGAGATCCACAGCTCACAGTGTCAAACCAAACACTGCTCGGGAGCAGGACGACGGAACCGTTGCACTCCCGGTTGAGAAAGGGAGAGTTTTCATTGGCTTGAACTAGCTTGAGAAACACATACACACACACACACACACACACACCCACACACTAACACACACAATTTAGAGCGTTAGCGATCAGCCAGATGTCGCCCAATTTGTCCAAAAGTTTACACAGAACTTCGAATATAACTGGTTTTTTTTTATTATGGCATGTTTGATGGCCTGGTTAACACTGGCCACGTGATGAGGGTGAACTTGCCACGGACAGAGGACTTCGGCACCATACCGGAGAGACGAGTATACCCTGCAGACATTCGCCGCTTCAACACCACAGATGTGGACACGGGGGACAGAGACGGTGGTCCTCACATGGAGAGCTATACAGTTGCCAGCCACACTCACGAGCGTGCACAGAGGCACAGGTCTATATTCTTCTTATTATTATTATTTTTCGTCTTCTTCTGTTTCTTCTTCTTCTTCTTCTTCTTCTTCTTCTTCTTCTTCTTCTTCTTCTTCTTCTTCTTCTTCTTCTTCTTCTTCTTCTTCTTTTTCTTCTTTTCTTCTTCTTCTTCTTCTTCTTCTTCTTCTTCTTCTTCTTCTTCTTCTTCTTCTTCTGCTTTTTCTTCTTCTTCTGCTGTTGCTGCTGCTGCCTCTTTTTCTTCTTTTTCGTCTATGATTTTTCTTATTACCTTGGCAGCAAGGCATTAAAGAGAGTAGTTATATGTAAGTTACCTGTAGTTTGATAGTTGTGTAACTTGTGGTAATGTCATACTGTGTTTCTGTGGCGTCTCTTTTACTGCCTCCGCCCATCTCATTCGTAGTCCGTCTCGTGTTTTGATTGTTTTGTAGCCTGCTTTTAAACATGCAGTACGATCAAGCTCCTGTCTGATTTTGTTCTGTTCTGACCAGATGACCAAACCATTTGAGTTTTCGATGTTCTTTGAAATCAATCAGCGGTACTTATCTATTGTCTTCTTAGTTCTTTTTTTTTTTTTTTTTATGTGACTGACTTTTTTGTTCCTGCTTAATCTCTCAATAATATTTAATGCCTCTTTCAAAGATTGTGTTTTCCTGTCTTCTGTCGTTGCCTGCTGCTGTTCCCTCTTCTTCGTTTTTTTTTTTTTTTTAACTTTTCTTGAAATAAATGTCAATAATGCGGACACAAACATAAGATAGCACAATTTATTGGCAAGCAAATTTCACTGTATCTCGTCAGGTGGGTTACTACAAAGCTACATCAACACATCATAAAGCACTAGAACTGAAAAGGCAACTGCAATACAAATGATCTCTGTTCATGGACCGCGTTCGTCTAGTAACCGGAAACTTACGATCGATAATCACGTGACCTACCGGACTGATTTCAAACTGACAATGAATTACGATACCTGAAGATGTAAACAGCGGGGCATGGAGAGTGAGAAGCAACAACGAAATTCATGATCTGTTTGAATCATCATTTTCTTTGGCATCATGAGATCTGGTAATCTTGGTAATCTTAGTTTCGGCTTCATAGCAAACGAGTCACCCCGTAGTTGCTCCGCGCCTGTACTTACGAAAAACACACAGAATGTTTATCACAGTCCCTTGTGGAAAGATTGTTACACTGCTGTCTCAGCATATGCACTAGCCTTCACAAGCATTAAAAGCGTACGGTAGCCATGCAAAGTGCTAACAAACAGTCCGACATAAAAAATGCAGTTAAATTATGGACGGTAGGAGAAGTCACCAACAGATCAGCAGTTGCACAAAAGATCAATTTTAATCACATACTGACACCACCAATACTGCGACAACAGGCATTGCGGCATTTTCTGAATCTACAATTCACACCGCCACGTTGGTCACAGAAGAAAAACTTTCTAAATAAAATCCGCAGCTCACAGTGTCACGCCATGCACCCAATTCAGAAGCTAGGCGACAATAATATCCTTTCAGTCTACACATGCAGCAAAAATGCACATACCAGCGCCTGACAGACGCAAAAGAAATTTGCCCCGGCTAACAACAGTGACCGTGCCTAGCGTCCATTTTGACCGGGATGAGAGCTAATAGGTTGAATTGGCTGGGGCATATTTAGAGAACTTCAGATGACAGAGAGGTAAACTAGGGAGATAAAATGTCGTAGACCACGAGGCAGACCAAGAATACGATGGAGAGATAATGTCCAGAAAGATCTACAAGCACTTAGTTTTACCAACTGGAAAAAGAAGGCCAATCAGAGACATGAAAAGAGGCGGGTGATATCTGCAGCAATGAATCTCAAGGGCTCGGAATGCTGAAGAAGAAGAAGAAAAATTAATAAGATGGACGAAGAGCAATTATTTGTATCTCAATGGAATTTTCAGTTGTTGTGCTTCATTACAAGTTAATATGACTTTTCAGTAATGCACCTGATGAGATGTAGTTACAAATGCCTTGCAAAAAATTGTGCAATGTGTCACCGACCTCTAATTGACCTTGATGGTACCTGGGCCTGTGACAGGCAATCTACCCTAATACACACTGAGACAGACATCCACCTAGCACACATGACAATCTTTAATGTTAATAACAGATACACATTATGACAGTGACTTCATGCTGTGTGGGCACATATAGCCCGAAACACCGACTGTGCTAGCTATACATTCATTAAAAACGCCAGTGGGTTCCCATGGGCAACTCCCAGATCAGCAAACCACACCTATGCAGGGTAAACTTTTTTTTCGATGTCACTGGACCTCACTAGGATCACAGAGTGTCCGTCTAGTGCCGGGGCCAGTGTGCCGAGGATAGAAATCATCACAAAAACCATATCAAACTCGATTCTACCTATCCGATTACATAGACACTACTTACGCAATAATGCACAAACACAACACCTGTCGCAGTTGAACGCTGCACAACACAACACCTGTCGCAGTTGAACGCTGCACAACACAACACCTGTCGCAGTTGAACGCTGCACAACACAACACCTGTCGCAGTTGAACGCTGCACAACACAGACCTGAACGCTGCACACTAACACCTGTCGCAGTAACGCTGCACAACACTGTCGCAGTTGAACGCTGCACAACACACACACCTGTCGCAGTTGAACGCTGCACAACACAACACCTGTCGCAGTTGAACGCTGCACAACACAACACCTGTCGCAGTTGAACGCTGCACAACACAGAGAAGCTATACTATCATAACGCAACACTAAGCACAATCTTTGCAGTCACTAAAATATTATTCTAACATCATAACATTCTAGTCTGTCAAACTAATCACGTCTCTGTCTCCTTTCTGAATCCTCAATATTGAACCGGTATCCCGCCAATTGCTGACTTTGTCGCAGGTCGTAAACTCTGGTTCGGCTATGTACAAAGCATGGTCTCGTTTGTCGAGCATTCAATTCACCAACACAACCCTATCCCGTCACACTTTGTCGCCGTCAACTATAACGAGATGGAACTGTAGTTTCCCCGCATACATAAAACAGTCATGCCTACACAGTAATGACTGTCGGTCAACTCGGCGTTTTGCACGCACATACAGTCCACCGCCTCTGTGGTCTGTACCGACCTATGACTGTTAAGACAAGGTTCGGACACAATGTATTGTTTGTGTCCGCATTATTTATATTAAAAAGGGGATACTTTGTTTTGAATTAAAAAAGGTTGTGTTTTTGGCCTTTCTTTACTTTTGAGATGCCTGTGGGTTCCATTGACATTCTGGGTTTTATTGTTTTCATACTTCCTCAGCGTGAGTCTTATCTAACGCCAGCGTCTTTTCTTCACCTCTTGGTCCACTGGAACTATTTAAATTATCTCCTAAAGTTCCACATTAGTGATTCTATCATATCATTTCATTCCTTCTATTTTGCGCAGGCACCAGGTAAAACATGTTTGTAGTGTATTATTAATTGCCTTTGTTGTTCTCCATGTTTCCACTCCATACAACAATACTAATTTGACATTATTAAAATGTAAAACTTTTATTTTAGTAAAAGTATTAATTTCTTTTGACTTCGATAAATTTCCCAGTGCAATAAAAGTTTTTCTTGTTTTCTGTATTCATATTTTAATATCTCTATCAGTTCTCCCATCTTTATCTACATTCCTGACCGAATAGTTGTACGACTCCATATGTCTTGGAGGGGGATACCCATTAAAAAAAAACCGCATCACTGTTCGCCTGATTTATTCTGATTATCTTTGTCCTTTCCTAAAGGATTTTCAGACCTAGCTGTTGCGATCTCACATCAAATATGTTTAATACATCTTGCATCTCATTCTGTGAGTGGGACAGACGAGATATATCATCAGCGAAGTTCAGATCATCAAATTGTTTTGGAGGGGTTCACTGAATTCCCATCTTGGTTTTTTTTTGGCATCGTAGTTACGACAGTGCTTCCAAGTTGGTACGCCATACTTATACCTGGTACTTTCTAGATATATATTTATATATACATACATATAAACATATATACTTCCTCATCTTATTTTTTTTCTAAATGCGTTTTCTGCTGATCCATCTATAAAAGCTCGATCCCACGTGGATATTCTTCCCAATGTAGCTGAGATTGGTTCTTTGTCGAATAAGCGTTTCATGTTTTTGTCTGGATGTATACTGGTAGTTTGCCTGTCGTCACCTTGAGGTTTGCTCTGGGATTGTTTGTGTTTGTTATTTGATTTCCTTTCCTTTTCCTTTCGTTCAGCTCTGACAGTGTTGCTCTGCCTAGTGTCTCTCTGACTGACTTGAATGTGTGCACATTCGAGTGTTTTAATAAATGCATGTGGTTGTTTATGCGTGCATATGTGTCTATGTATTGTTTACATGTGTACTTATTTCAATGTATATTTATGTGTGTGTATAAACGTGTTTGTATATAATTGTTTGCATTGTGTCTTTATGTGTGTGTGTGTATGCGCGCGCGCGCGACTGTATATAATCGAGCACATATATTTTAATGAGCCTCATTGCGTGTGTGTATGTGTGCTGAGAGCTGATCTGATAAATGACGTCATGGCAATCTGGACAGTCCCATAATTGTCCCGTCCTCATCTTTAGAAACCAGCTAACAGTTCTGATGACTCCAGGAGCAGTTTAATTATGTATCCGTCTCGCCGTTCTTCTGAGTGTAGAGTGTCGACCAAATCCCCTGGTCATACTGACCTGTATCATTTTCTCCAGACCCTCATGATCTATCTGTGCCTCCACTTTGTCCACTTGCTCACAACGGGCCTTGATTACCAACAGTCTGTAATATATACATTAACCGTTTTGTTTATAATTGTTTACACGTCTCACTTTGGGCATATGTGCGTGCGTGTGCGTTTGTTTTCGATTGTTTTGTGTGTGTGTGTGTATACTTACCACATTTAGTAGTGGATCAATAGTTAATTTGACTGGTTTGGGATAAAGAGGGTCTAAAAAGGAAGCGTAGTCTCTCGATACCAAGTCTGACATCGGCAGGAAAATATAGTCCACACATCTGTCAAATAGTAGGGTAAAACAGTTTGCAGAAGACAAAATGTTTAGATAAGTGAATGGAGATTAGAGAATGATACTGTCAAAAAACATTCCGCACATCTGTCTAATAGTGATATTATAAACAGCGAAGAGAGGAACCAACATCACATTTCATTATACCGGTCTACTTCGATATACGTTCGCTTTAGTATGCGTTCAACTTTATATACGCCCTGTGTAGACGAGAAACCGCGGTGTAGACCTTTGTTGTGACTACTAACGTGTATAAGGCAAACTTAGTCAGCACAATGCGGGCTTCCTTCGTTTGTCTATGTCAAAACAAAACCCGGATAGATGTCATTGACATTGCACACACGTATCACACCAACGAAGCCCAAACAAGCCGTGATAGCATTGTCTGGAACCCTTAGAAAATCTCAGGTTTCTGAAAAACCCTGAGGAAAAGGCAGAAACAGAGTTGTTTAGACAAATGTTAAGTAAAAGTCAAACCCGGTAAGCCTTAACCAGGTCCAAGTGTAGAAATGGTACAGGAAAAACACACGCACTTTCTAAACACTAACATCTTCTCCTGCTTTCTCAGTACTATCTTAATAGTAAATTGACTCTTCTCAGAAAGTGAAAGTGAGGTTACATTTGCATTTATTTCATGTATGTAGTTTACTATTAAGCAGTACATACATAATGTTTGTACAACCCTTCGAATATATAGGTTAGTTAGTCGCGTATCCTTTACAGGACTTTGTAGAACCAACCCCAACAGCCCCTAGCTGTTGTGTGGTTTTTCTAGGTAAATTTACGTCTAGTAGTTTCTACGAATATATAATATGCCATTAATAATATAATTGGCTTTTCTTCACCGGACCGGTAATTGCTCTCTCTCTCTCTCTCTCTCTCTCTCTCTCTCTCTCTCTCTCTCTCTCTCTCTCTCTCCCTATTTCTTTTGGGAATGAATGAATTAATGAAACATTGACATCTCTGCACTCGGACATTTCCAAATGTGCTCTGTCTCCTTCTGCTGTAGCCACCAAAGAGTCGGTATGATTACGGTACCTGTTGCAGCCTGACTGAATGTCGTCTATGTTTTCTCCGCAAGGTTTACTGCGATGACTTTTATTCCTTTCATGCGATGACTTTCTATTGTATTCATCTGGCTCTAGTCATTGCACGCTTCCATTCACTGACTGACAACACACGAGAAAACATGGACGCTGGCGAACGATCCAAATTACACTTACAGTTTATTTGTTCACTCGCTGATATTGCAGTCAGTAAATGTTATTGGACAAAATAGTCACTCATATCTATCCTCACTTATCTAACATGTCAGCTTTACCTTATAATATGTCTTCCATCCAACGACTGAATGAACAACAAAGATTCCATCCGATCAAAACACAAACATTCTCAGCTGGCTACGAATTCCGCTTCGCCGCTACTGATAGCCAGGTAGGCATTGGAAAAAACACTGTGCAGAAACATCGAACTTAAACACTCTTTCTGGATTTCGCAGACACCTCATCATACTTCATGTATTCAGTTCCTAGGCCTAAACGAGACTGACTACCAGCTCTTTCTCAGGCATTATATACCTTCTAATGACCTCCTCGTGCTTTTGAATCGTGTTCTCCGTTTTACACGAATTACATTTGGCCAGCAGTTTTTGTGTGACCCCCGCGAATAATTACAATTCACATAAAGTTAGACTATCAGCTTTTCTCTACAATTCGCGTGAAGTTAGACTTATCAGCAATTCACGTGATTTCCCAGTTAGACTCAAAATATTCTACTCACATTAATTACTGACGTCATTCCGTCTAGGCATAATTTATCTAGGAGAAAATGAGATTCACTAAATTTACTATCTTCCAGACCCGATGCACACCCCTCGTTGAAATAGTCAACCAATGTATGGATAACTGGTCTGTTCTGTTGCACTTTCCACTCAATCCAAAGAGCCTTCGCCACTTCCGCTTTTTTTATGAGGTGGCTCACCATCCAGAGCAGCTGAAGCAGCCAATCTATCGGCTTGCTCATTACCCCCACACCGGAATAGCCTGGACAGAAAATGCATAAATGCTCCTGATTAGAGTCATAGCGAAGCAAGCCACTCAACGCGAAGGACGCCAATTTATGTTTTCCGAAGCATGCCCCGTGACTCGGTTACAATGACCACATGTTGGACTGGGCTGCTTTCAAGCTCTTGACGGTTGTTTAGTCCTACTGTAGTATACAATTGGTGTTGAGGTATTTTGGTGACTAGAATCAGGTGTTAACATGTTTTTTGTGTGACATTGTCTATCTTTTACACACAGTCCTCGCACTCTACAACCGCGCGCAGTCCTGGTGGCATTCGGTAGCTTGAGAAAAGAGCGTATCCCACAGAGTGTGGGTTCGGACCTGGAAATTGCCAACGGGAACAGAAAGGTGTATCTAGTGAGTTATAAAGCTAGCACAGCCGCCGTTTCGGTTAAAATGTGCCAAAACAGTGTGAAGTCAACAGTTTTATCATTCAACTGTGATTGTTCATTACATATTGTGGTGTGTACTCTGTCTGGTGTGTTATAGGTTGGATTGTCGGTCACAGGACATCATTTATGGTGAATTAAAGACGGGTAGAAGGTGTCGAGGCCGACCTCTACTAGGGTATAAGGATGTCTGGAATCGGGACATGAATGATACAGGAACAGAGGTAGACTGATGGGAACAAAATGCCATGACCGTGTTGTGTGGAGAGGGCATATCAGGAAGGGAATGAGAGTGATGGAAGAAATGATTGCAGAAAAGATGAGAAATGAGTGTCTGAGAAGAAACGGATTAAACACACATGTTGACAACAAAGGTCCTGAAATCCCATGCTATCATCGTGGAAGACTTTTCTAGACACGTGCGGGTCTTGCTAGTCGTACTCGCCATCGCGTCCCATGCTTCTACAAAGTGCAAAGTAACACTATCGTCTGGAAAGTCGGAAAGGTGTCAATCAATGTCTATCACAGGCTCACCAAGGTAAGGTAACCAAGGGGAGGGTGACACGAAGGAAAGATAAAATAAGCACCTCTTCGTGTGGCTTCCAAGGCCCGATGTTGGGGGCAGCTGAATACATTTACTGCTCCTTTGAAAAACATTTTGGAAAAGGGGACTATTTTAGGGTGTTCCTTTGAAACTATTGGCCAAAGAGGCAAGCAAGCAACAGTTAACACAGAAATAAACTAAACATGTAAAGCCCATTTGCTCGCTAAACTTAAGTTTTGGAAGAAGCTCTTACTCCAAAAAGAGAACGAAGAACCTAAACAGCCACCAGAGTTTACAGCTTTTGTTGCTTGTCCTTTACAGATCATTGTGGAACCAAGGCCATCATTCTTTAACTATTGTGGTTTTTCTGTCCAAACGTTTGTCACTGCTTTCTGAATTTATTCACACTTGATACCAACATAAAAGCCATCGAAATGCGGTTTACTGCCAAACGCTCTACAGCTGGGATAGAACACGGCACCACGTCATTGGGAAGTGAGTTCACAGTGAAACTCGTTCATAAATTTTTGTTGAAACTAGTTTTATTTTTTCTTCAACAGTCTTTGGCCTTCCTATTCTTCCTAGTTGAACTTCACATTCATAGAATGTGGCTAAGAAAACAATTTCTTATGGACCCAGCTGTTTTTTCGCCAAAATGTCCTGTTGGTCCGCAAACATTTCTGCCTAATCATCTGTCGGCTACATGCGCTCGGAACGACATTGCATAGATGATCTGACCAATATGTATCAGCTGTAACATCGAGTGCTGACATGGTCTCAGTGTGAAGTCCAGTGGCGGAAGAAAAAGCTTTGAACGAATACGGCGTGGGTTGAACCAAGTTTGATCTGTAGAATGGGATGGCCAAGAAGTGAGTGGCAATTTTGAAGTCCTCACTGTCTTGGTTCAGGATCAGGGTTACCCACCGTCTTTGAGACGAACTACCTGTTGTATAATGTTCTGTACATTACAGATTGATGTGTGTGCTTGATGTGTTTAAAGGTAGATAGTCTGTCACGAGCCTACAAGTGAGCCTTGAGTTTCAGTAAAGAAGGATTATAGGACTAGCTTACTGACAGCTCTGGCAAATTAGGTCCCTTGTGGGGTGGAGGTGGAGAAGGGGAGGGGAGAGCGTATTTTCTTCAAATACAAATTCGCGAAAAAAACAAAAATAAAAACAGCAACCAGCCAACACTTTAAAAAAAAAACACATTGTTTTTCATCGTTATGGCTACTCACTTGTATATTTGCTCATATCGATATGACTACTCACTTGTATATTTGCTCACATCGGTATGGCTACTCACTTGTATATTTGCTCACATCGATATGACTACTCACTTGTATATTTGCTCACATCGATATGACTACTCACTTGCGTATTGGCTCCACATTGTAAAAAGAATAGATTGAATGGGGCACCACTAAACCAGTGACGATGAGCAACAACTTGCTGGCCACATGGTCGCCATCAAAGGCACTCCGCAAGGCCTGTAAATGTCGAAACAATGACAGGTGTTCAGAAAGCGAGCAAAGCTTTTTTTTTTCAAATTGTTAATGTAATTACTTCAACAGGCAGCAGCTGTCGTGTAGCGGCTAGACCGTTGACCGCCGACCTGAAGATCGTGGCTCCAAATCCGAACAGAGCCTGACCTTTCCCACGTCGAACCAGCCTGAACTGATTAGCACGTAAAGTCATAGGTGGTAAAGGCGGCCTGTGCAATGATGATCACATCACCCACCGAGTGATGATCAATCTATAGGATACAGGTGTGCAATGATGATCACATCACCCACCAAGTGTCTATATATATATATATATATATATATATATATATATATATATATATATATATATATATATATATATATATATATATATATATACACACACATATATGTACACACACGTATATATATATATATAGACACATACGATTTCTTGCACTGCGAAATCTGTTGACGCCAAAGGATACTAACACTGTTAACAAACTTAGAATATATAAAACTCAGATGTTCAACAGTACTACTGTATGATGCTAAACACTAAAAACAACAAGTTATGATAAACAATAAGTAGTAGTAGCAGAAGCAGCCGCAGCAGCAGTAGAAGTAGCAGCATAAATAGCAACATTAGTATCAGCAGTAGAAGAAGTAGAAGCAGCAGCAGCAGTACCAGCAGGAGATTCAGTATTAGTAGTAGTAATAGTAGCAGCAGCAGTACCATCATCAGTAGTAGAGCAGTAGCAGCAGCAGTATTAGCAGCAGCGACTACGGTGGTAGCGGCAGCCGCAGTGGCAGCAGCTATAGTAGTAGTAGTAGCAATACTAGTAGTAGTTGCAGCAGTAGTAGTGGTAGTGGTAGCAATAAAAGTAGTAGCATTTGTAGCACTGGTAGTAGTAGTAACAGCAGCAGTAGTAGTAGAAGCAGTAGTAGCAGCATTAGCAGTAGCAGCGGTAGTAGCAACAGCAGTAGTAGCAGCAATAGCAAAGCACGAGCGAAAGAAAACGAATAAGAAGAAGAATACGAAGAAGAAGAAGAAGAAAAAGAAGAAGAAGAAGAAGAAGAAGAAGAAGAAGAAGAAGAAGAAGAAGAAGAAGAAGAAGAAGAAGAAGAAGAAGAAGAAGAAGAAGAAGAAGAAGAAGAAGAAGAAGAAGAAGAAGAAGAAGAAGAAGAAGAAGCAGAAGAAGAAGAATAAGCAGAAGAAGCAGAAGAAGCAGAAGAAGAAGAAGAAGAAGAAGAATTAGCAGAAGAAGAAGAAGAATTAGCAGAAGAAGAAGAAGAAGAAGAAGAAGAAGAAGAAGAAGAAGAAGAAGAAGAAGAAGAAGAAGAAGAAGAAGAAGAAGAAGAAGAAGAAGAAGAAGAAGAAGAAGAAGCAGAAGAAAAAGAAGAAGAAGAAGAAGAAGAAGAAGAAGAAGAAGAAGAAGAAGAAGAAGAAGAAGAAGAAGAAGAAGAAGAAGAAGAAGAAGAAAAGAAGAAGAAGAAGCAGAAGAAGAAGACATAACTATAACAATTACAAAAAGAAAACCAAAAGCAAGGGGGAAAATACGCAGAAAACACAAGAACAGGAAGAAGACATAAATAAAAAAAAAAACCGAAGAAGAAACTAAGAAATGAGAACATATGTTACAACTAAAGATAATGTGCACGCACCTGCAGCAGTTTAGGAAGAACCACTTTACCCATTTCTTCCTCTTGTACCTCCCAGTGGATGTTCAGACCATCGAATCCTTTATCCCTCAGAAAGCCGATCGCATGCTGAGCGAAAGTGTCAAAGGTGTTATCTTTTGAGTGCAGTGTCTTGAATGCTAAATCGGTATCGCCTCCTGGTCCTCCAAGGGTGAGAACAGTTTTAGCCTCAGGGTTCGTCAATTTGCCGTTTTTGAACTGTCTATATGACACAGACCAGAACAGGCATATGTAATAATGAGGTTTTTAACATGACTATGAAGCAAAAAAAAGGAATGGAAAAGACGCACACAATGATAATTAGGCTTTTCACCTGCAATCTTTATGAACAGAGAAACAACACAGTTAAGCAGGCCAGGAAGAAAGAGGATTATCCCCCCCCCCCCCCCCCCCCCCCTGCTTCCGCCTCTTGTCCTGTATGTAGATACACTAATGCTAGAAAATGATCCTGGCTGGGCTGAGAACGCCAAAACTGTGAACAGTGCGATTTTTTTTAGGATTTCGTTTCTGGACCTTCAGTGCAACGTTTTCTGTTGACGCTGTCGCCTTGTATGTTTGTCTAACAGTACTTTTTTATGTGTAGTAATTTTTGGGGCAGTGACGACACACACGCACACACGCACGCGCGCACACACACACAATCGCACACACGCACGAGCGGGCGCGCACACCCACAGACAACTTGGGCATCTAGGCGGACAGAAGAGCAAGCACAAGAACTCCTAATTTAGCCAAGCGTTAAAAGTAAACCTGGAGCAAAGAAGATCAAGGTCTCATGCATGACGTGACAAGAAATTTCAGCGAAATCTTAGTAACAACTTATGCGGCTTTGGGGCTTAGAGGTCGGCGAATGCCTTTAGCAATTTTGAGATTCAAGAATACTTGAGTTTAATTTATGTGGAATCTGATTTTTTGGTTTCAAAAATTACCTTGGCTCACAGGTCGACTCAGCCTTGAATGGGTACCGGGTGCAGTCCCGGAAAGTAAAGGCGGCCGGCGTGATGCTAACCTCATCACCCATCTTGTGACGTTGGTCTATAAAATAGAGGACTAGCCCTATATGCCCTATACACCTGAAAGCGTGGCAAAGGGTCCTTTACTTCAATTTAAATGATTTAATTGGGGGGGGGGGGGGGCAATTTGTCATGGTTTTTGTATAGCGTACAGTAGGGGTTAAATAATACCCTCCCCTGCCCTCCCCAATGCAGCAGTAGATGCACCGTAGCAAACCTACAATGTGGATACTGCACGCAGTTTTAGCCACACATGGGGAACTTGATGTGACACGAGCAGAGGGGAATTCACATAGATAAACACCGGCACCACTTGGCCAGAGGCAGGATCCTGGGACTACGGGGATCGTCGCAGGTGTCCAAGTACTGACTTTTCGACATGTTCATTTTTGCGATGCAAAATTTCAACATGCAGAAAGCATGACGTATACAGACGGCTACATATAACTTTGAATAGTCTTTTTCTGAAGCAAGGCAACGAAAATAAATGTCTACAAATTTTATTCCAGGCACAATAGACTAGGAACCAGAAACAGTTACCTTGGGGATTTCATCTAATGCCATCTGTTATCGTTAAAAGGGCATCTAAAGATAGGTATGACCACGAAGCAACAGGTTATAAACAGTATATTCTCACCAACACTGTGATACCAATCTCGGACACTAACGAAAGTTTACCGACACTTAATTAACACCTTTGGAATGAGACCGATATATTTTCTCGACTATTTAGCAATCAATGAGTATATTGGTCAACACAACTCTGCCGCCTTTACCTTCCATAAATAACTTATAGCACCATTCTGCTGTGTCGGCCATTGAGATCAAGTCATTAAACAAATACTTCTTTGTGGATTCGACGTTTGTACAGGCAAGCAAGAGCGCATACAAAGGAAACAAAATTATTTCTGAGCTCTGTTGGCTTTGCCGCCCTCCATTGCCACAGAAAAAACAAACACAATGATAATAACCATGAACACGCAGCAGATCCTTTGCAGATCATCGCTCTTATCACAGTCCCCCTGAAGCTCGGTCTCCTCAGCTCTCCCGCTCGTCCCGTATCCAGTTTCCTGCTTCTTTCCTGGTAATATGCCTTTACCTTTTATTATTTTTTTTTTTTTCAGTTCTCCGTAGCGCTTGATATTGCCAATATGTTTCAGTTCTCTGTAGCGCTTGATATTGCCAATATGTTTCTGTTCTCTGTAGCGCTTGATATTGCCAATATGTTTCTGTTCTCCGTAGCGCTTGATATTGCCAATATGTTTCAGTTCTCTGTAGCGCTTGATATTGCCAATATGTTTCAGTTCTCCGTAGCGCTTGATATTGCCAATATGTTTCAGTTCTCCGTAGCGCTTGATATTGCCAATATGTTTCAGTTCTCTGTAGCGCTTGATATTGCCAATATGTTTCTGTTCTCTGTAGCGCTTGATATTGCCAATATGTTTCTGTTCTCCGTAGCGCTTGATATTGCCAATATGTTTCAGTTCTCTGTAGCGCTTGATATTGCCAATATGTTTCAGTTCTCCGTAGCGCTTGATATTGCCAATATATGTTTCAGTTCTCCGTAGCGCTTGATATTGCCAATATGTTTCAGTTCTCTGTAGCGCTTGATATTGCCAATATGTTTCTGTTCTCCGTAGCGCTTGATATTGCTAATATGTTTTAGTTCTCCGTAGCGCTTGATATTGCTAATATGTTTTAGTTCTCCGTAGCGCTTGATATTGCTAATATGTTTTAGTTCTCCGTAGCGCTTGATATTTGCCAATATGTTTCTGTTCTCCGTAGCGCTTGATATTGGTAATATGTTTTAGTTCTCCGTAGCGCTTGATATTGCGTATATGTTTTAGTTCACCGTAGCACTTGATATTTGCCAATATGTTTTAGTTCTCCGTAGCGCTTGATATTGCCAATATGTTTCAGTTCTCCGTAGCACTTGATATTTGCCAATATGTTTTAGTTCTCCGTAGCGCTTGATATTGCCAATATGTTTCAGTTCTCTGTAGCACTTGATATTGCTAATATGTTTCAGTTCTCCGTAGCACTTGATATTTGCCAATATGTTACAGTTCTCCGTAGCGCTTGATATTGCCAATATGTTACAGTTCTCCGTAGCGCTTGATATTGCCAATATGTTACAGTTCTCTGTAGCACTTGATATTGCCAATATGTTACAGTTCTCTGTAGCACTTGATATTGCCAATATGTTTCAGTTTACCGTAGCACTTGATATTTGCCAATATGTTTCAGTTCTCTGTAGCTCTTGATATGGCCAATATGTTTCAGTTTACCGAGACAAGATGCGATTTGCTAACCAATATTTCTTGACGTTGACTACTTTTTGTCGGCGTCTGTGACTTGGGCGTTACGAACGCGCTTTGTAATGCCGGGGTGCCCGGTTCGATCCCAGCTGCGGGCGTTGCGCCTTGCGTTGGTTTCGACATTGGTATCGAGAAGCCGACCGTCCAGATATCAATGCAAAGTACTGGACGTAAACTTGCCTAGACAAAACATAACAGTTAAAAAAAAAATGCTGTGGTTGGTTCTGCAACGTCCTGTAAAAGATACGCAGCTTTTAAGATGACTATTTTAGAATATCGCAATTTCTGTTCTTCCTTGTCCATGGTATGCTGAGAATATTTCTATATAATTTTAGCCCCAAAAGCTCCTTTTTCTGTCCATAACAACAGGGAGATAGTCTATGACTCACATGCGCACATTGCTACAAGGAAGACGCATGCTTCCACAATGTTGACTTTTGATGTCTTTGCTGATGTAAAACCAGAGACCTGTAATGCTCTCTATTCTTTGTTTTGCTGTGCCCATCCTTTTTCTGTTGAATAGCCTCCATTGGTATTTGTTATGGAGGCTTGACAGTAAAAGTGTGTTATATTTTGTCTTCTGTATACTTAACTTTTTTTTATTTTTTACAGGCAATTGTGTGAGTAGACAATTGTGTTTTCTTTGAATTCCCTGAAAGATGTTGCACTTTAGTGTGTTTCTGAAAATATGATTAAATGTTCCCGTTAAACTATAGGAATGGAGGACTGTGTCATCTGCCTAGCGAAGATGTGAAATAGGGAATAATGATAACAAAAATAATATCATTTGGACCATTACTTGTGCAGGCCAGGAGCGATCGACCGATTAGTGCTAATCCCTAAGCTGTTAGTTCAAATAATCGTCGGGGCGAATTTCCTTGTATATCCTAGGTCAATCATGCCTTAAATGAGAACCCGGAAATACAACAGCAAGTAAAACTGGCATTTGTACCATTGACTACATCACACAACCAGTGCCGAGTGGTCTAAGTAAATGTGTCCAACATCATATTCTCTGATGTTTTCATTATTTTTCTGATGCACTAGAACAACATCATGGAACAGTTAGTGTCGGAGGTCGAACTATAGCAAACTTAAGGGTTGCAGATGACATCGATGGTTTGGCCGGAGAAGAACAAGAGCTAGTCGAGCTTGTAAATCTGTGCCATGAAACATCAACCAAGTATGGCATGGAAATAAATGCGGAAAAATCAAAATTAATGACTAATAATCCAGCTGGCAGAATTTTACAAATCTACATTAAAGGTCGAAAATTAAAACAAGCGACTCATTTCAAAATTCAGGATCAATTTTAAGTGCCTGGGGGTCACGACCAGAAATCATGTCTAGGATTTCCCAGACAACATTAATCCTTGCCAAGTAGCAAACATTATGCAGATCCAAAAACATTTCTTGGAAAACTAAGATTCGATTGCTCAGAGCACTAGCTATTAGTACATATACGTATGGCTGAAAAGCGTGAACCTTACCAGTTGAACTAGAAAGAAAGATACAAACATAAAAAATGCGATGTTTCAGAAAAATTCTTTGCATATCACACATAGACTATATTACAAACGAAAAGGTTCGCCAAAAATTTATACAGCACTTTGGCAACCATGAAAAACGTTTAACTACAGTGAAAACGCGAAAAATGCAATGGTATGGACATGTGATAAGATCTAACGGGCTCTAAAAGAAAAAAAAAAAAAAGGGCTCAGTAGAGGGAAATAGGAGAAGAGGCAGACCAAGAAAGACCTGGTTACAGAACCTGACTGACTGGACAGACCTCAGGCATGCAACCATGAAGTCCATCGCAACTGATCGCCAAAAGTGGAGAGAGATGATCAAAGGAAACTGGTGACCCAACGACCCGTAGTGTTACGAGATGATGATGATGACGAGCATCATATACCTATTGCGTTCATAACTTCACTTTATGGACTTACTTGTACAGTCCTAGTCTGCCTTCTTCCTCGTCCCGGTTGACAGACATGATTGTTTTTTCTTCAGTGTCAATTTTCGCATAGCCATAGATATAGTGTGTGCACAAAGTGAAGTCGATATCTTTGACTGAGAAGAATGCATTAATTTCATCCTCCCGAAATCTGGACTGACTATGGAAGAAGCATGCCCGCATATACTCTGTGGCAGACACTGTTAATTGACAACATAGAAACGTCTGTGATATGTCCTGACAATATGACATTTAGTGGCATCACGTGGCAACCGTGCTTCACATACTGGCATAGATAGGTCCCCTGCTGTCAGGTGCCGAACTTTTTCTGTCACTTTCCTCTCCGCCCCATCCCTCTCCCACCTCCCCAGCCCACAGACATAATATATATATATATATATATATATATATATATATATATATATATATATATATATATATATATATATATATATATATATATATATATATATATATATATGTGTGTGTGTGTGTGTGTGTGTGTGCGTGTATATATAATATACATTATATATATGTATGTAATTTTTAAAACAGCAGATAATTTGCCATTGGGTCCCCCCCCCCCCGTCTGTGTTGACAGCTGAGGCAGCTCGAACCAGTCCTCCACCCCCAGCCCCCCCCCCCCCCTCATCACCCCTTACAATCCCCCTTGACTATGTGGTTTCTTAGTCTCTTTCTGAGTTCATTTAATGATGTAAATGTCTTGTGCAAATTTACACAATGGCTGCGATATTTACGCCCTTTGGCCGACACATCCGACTTCTGCAGGCATTTGTTGACTGGGTTAGCTGGCCCGGATTTGTGTGTGGGTTCTACGAACATATTTGATACTAGAATGTGTGTATGTTTTCCTTTCCTTATTATTATCAGACGATGAATGCGTTCAGGAAGTAAAGTGAACAGTGGTTGCCAAAATCAGCAGAAAAGCGAACGCCTGCTATGACTGCTCATACGATGCTATAAAACAGCTCTCTTTGCAACATTATCACGAGGGATGGGCATTGTCTTGATATTTTCTGGGTGGATTCCTGAAGTGTTGGGAAAAGAACAGTTAGACACACTGGCTGGCTTTGCACAGGTTGGTGGCATATTGATGTATAATTCGGCAGACGTGACAAATGCTTTATGGGAGCATGTATACCATTCCGGGGTGCAAATGGATTATCACAGTCTGCTGAGAGGGATGCAGCGAGGAGTGACGATGGCATAAAGCCGATACTTGATGCTCAGAGGAAAGGCAAGACGGACATTTAGGCATACTGCTACTGGTGCTACTCGTATAGGAACTCTGAGCGAATTGGAACTCTGGGCTGGCTGTTGGAGATAGGGACGAAACGCTTATGGGAATGTCCCGTTGTAGCACTGCTCTCTTTTTCATGTATGTTGATGTCACACTCAGGTTCATCTGTGCTTTGCTACAGGATAAGTTAACTGAAGAATATAGACGAGGAGAAAGATGGTCGTGTCGACAGTAGTCATGATTATGATGTACTGCTAGCTGCATGCTTCCTATGTCACTCTTATGTTTGTATAACAAAATGTCTTGAAACAACTCTTCTTTTCAATTTCCTAACTTTGTTATCATCTGTAGATGTGATAAATGAAATCAAAGATATTCTGAATGACAGCTTATATCACTCTAGGGCTATATACTCTTGATGTGGCGTTGTGTTCTTCAGCTTTGTTTACTTGTGTACTTGTTTGGTTCATTAAGACTGCCACCTGGCTTCCAGGGTTGTCTGGCACTAACGGCTTGATCGTCGATTCTAACATCTTAGCAATGATTCTATGTTATGTGTCTCTGTTGACCATGGACCCATGGATCAAGACTGCTGTCTCTGTAGCTCGATATCTCATTTCATGTCTCTTCTCTAGTGACTGTCTTTGAGGCTCCATGTGACTAGTTTCTCTTCTTCTAGTGTTTACCTGGCTTCTCCACAACTAAAGGTTCTTGTCTGTGAGAGTCCATATGACTAGACCCTCTTCTTCTGAGTCTCAACTACTGAAGGTTCCTGTCTGTGAGGGTCCATGTAACTAGTCCATCTTGTCTCCAAGTTTCGGCGACACAAGGTTCTTCTTAACATTTGAGGGTCTATGCTGCTAGTCCCTCTTTTCTATGTCTCGTAAACTGAAGGTTGCTTAAATGGCTTCATAATCCCCTGTTTTTATTGGGATTCTGGTATGTGTGGCGTGTGGTTTCTACACGATGAATGCTTCTAGAAGATTATGTTCAAGGTATGCCCAAACGTTTTTTTTTTTTACTATCTAGGCTCTCGCCGTGGGGTTTTCTAACTGAGTCTCGATTGCATCTTCTAGTTCGACATCTAAAGTTGATTTCTGGGCTTTTAGGGTCTTCTAGAAAACGAGTACTACTAGGTTCTCTTTAATAGAGCACGTCAACACGGTTACATAAAATACTATTTACAACACAAGTTTATTAATTTGCATACTACCAATCTGTGAATAAACATGCGATGGTTCTAGAAAGGGATTGTCAAGGTTGCTAACGCTTGTTGATTTTCAGTCTGTTCTAACTATTGCGCAATTGATGACGCTTCCCTGCTACACTGAGTGCTGTGATGTGGGTTCTTCAATCAACTCACTCTTTGAATTATTCTTGCTATTTATCCTTAAGTGTACGATTTTATTTTGTTTTTGTTATAATCATCACAATGTATTTGTTTCCAAAATACATGAAACGAGTCTATAAATACACATAAAAAATATAACTAACATATTTTAAGTAATGAAGTATAATTATTGTACCACACGTATCAACATTTCTTGTGGCAGAAGTGAATATGTGATGTCATTATAGCTGCAAACGGTATTTGATTTTCCGTGCATATTTTCCTGTAGTTGTCCATTTTCGACACGTGCATCGTAATGTTGAAATATAGTTGTTATAAGATTGTCTTAATCAAGCCGAGAAAAATTACTTTTAGCTTACATTGAAACATATGAACTAAACGAGGAATTTTCAACTACATTGTAACTACTGACAATGAACTACGTGATACAATGTAAGAGTATTTGATTTCATATGTGTTACTAACGAATGTCCGCATGATTCAGCACCGGAAATGTTAGTTTATAATGTGTTATCTATTTATAACTGCACTAATCAACACGAGTAGATTTAGTTTAACCTGTCGATACTTACACTGAACAAGGCGAATCGAGACAAGAAAGACAACTATCTGAGATATCTTTTCTGTCATCGGGACTTTATTGAAACTGGAAAACCAAAATGCATAACTATGTGAAAAATCTATTCGTTTTCAAAAAAAAAAAAAAAAATGTAAACAAAATATTGTCATTCTAGGTATCTCCGAAGTTCCACGCTTATCAACGCAGACCATCGGATACAAGCATGCATACTGTCAAAAATTAATTTTGGTTCAGTTGGCTGAAGTTGAATGAAGTTCGGCTACAGTGAATCTTCATTTGGCTTTGTCATTTGCCGTGTGTGGGTACATTCTCCTTTACTACTGTTGGTGCTTTCTTAATATCCTACCCCCAACAGGGGAAATCCACAGGTCATGGACCAGTCTAAAATTTAAGGGGGTAGTAGTTAGGCTGCATACAGTCGTGGTACCTAGGCTGCATGCAGTTGTGAGACCTAGGCTGCACTCTCTCATGGGACGTAGGTGAGTTGGGTTTAGGGCCAGTTCTAGATGTTTTAAGGTCGTTAAAAGCATCAGAAAGCCGGAAAGCCCAGTGTTGTACCCTCTATAATGTTGGACTGTTGTGACATCATCTGGGGTAGGATATTACTAAAGAACCCTACTGTGTGTCTATCTCCTAATGTTAGCCTCCCACTTGTATTGGGTTGGTTTAACAACCCTTTTCCCCTATCATTAGTGCATCGACTAGATTATGGTAGACCTTATTTGTCATAGATCCATCGGCAATAGACAGATAAAGTGGTCAACATACAAGCGACTGCACACACTCCATATGACAATTATCGCTAACCATTTTCTCATCGGTTAATTTGGAAGCCGCTCAGTTTTGAATAAAACAGAATTCGCAAAGGGTTATTCATCACTATGATTATTACGTTATTTCGTTAAACGTCCTATGTAGCTATGTGGCACAGTCGTGCCTATACATCCCCCAAGAAATAGATGTGCCTAGTTCGGCCAAGGGTGAATGAATATAGTTCGTAGCTCTCTTCAATCGTACTCAAGAACAAGGCCAGTGATGTAATCAATTACATAAGAGCTGGTTTATTCATAATATTCTCGTCACACACATTTCATAAATTCAGTAAGCAATAGTATATGAACACTCCTTATTACTGGCTATTCGTATGCCTCTACGAGTTCCTTAACCACTGTTCTGGCTAAACTCCAAGTTTAACATATACCTTCTAACGAAGTACAGCACTAGTTTTCTCAACTGGTCTCTCAAGCAGTCCGGTCCTAACTGTCCTCTCAAGCGGTTCCGGGGCTAACTCTCCTCTCAAGCGGTTCCGGGGCTAACTAACTTCTCAAGCCCCTGGCTCAGACTTTATTCTCCTGCTTTCCCGCTCTTTCTGGCGTACCTTCTCCATCACTTCCCTGTCACCTGTCATTGGTGGTCACATTTGGATGAACGTATCTCATCAGCTGGTCACAGCTCACGGGCACTCGTCGAATGTTTCATCCCTCACTGTCAGATGTCATGGCGGTTATCATGAAGATGTTCTGCATAGTTGGCTAGGCCATGGCTTTCTAATCACCCATTTCTGTCATTTCACACAGTGATGGATTAGTACGCCGTGTGGTGGTCTGAAATGTATGCTTTGTTCATTTAACCCCTTTCTGCCTATATTTCATTACAGCTAGTCTTCTCTTTTGCCCCAATTGTTTTAATATCATGGATTCAATCCCAATTAATTATTCATGTACTGATTTTATTGGGTCCTACATTCTTCTAATTTTTCAATTTTTGTGTGTGTTATATCTACCATAATTTATATCTTGTTTTATCATCTCAGACTACTGTTGTTTTTCCCTGTTGATACCATCTTGAAACACCATTTAAAATTTACAGTGAGGTATCAACAGTAAAATCTAATTCAACGTGTAGAGTGCATCGATCGTTCCTCTAGCGACATCGTTAAAAATCTCAGGCTCTACTTTCAAATTTGGCCGGTAAGCTGGACTGCTTCGGCCGGCTTAGCGGGGCTTAG